GCGGCGGAAAAGAAAAGGTTAGAAGCGTTCGAAATGTGGTGTTATAGGCGGATGATGAGGATATCGTGGGTAGAAAAGGTTAGAAATGAAGAGGTATTGGAAAGAATAGGAGAACAGAGGACTCTATGGAAGTCAATAAAAAATAGGCGAGATAGGTTGGTAGGACACCTTCTCAGGATAGGAAAGAGTGGAGGTACGTGTCCAACCAGTTAAGGGACTGACGACCTTATGATGCTGATGATGACGGCTAAGGCACGTCCATTACTATATGTCTGCGGTTGCAGCAACTATTTCTTTACAAATTTCCACACTGTTACATGAGAGGAGCCAATGTTGTGTTTTATTTCGCATGTACTACTTTGAGAGTTGTCTTCTATGAAATCATGTATTTCATCATCTTAGCGATGATATGGTTTCGGTGTTGACGCCCTCGGCCATAAAAGTAGGGTGTTCTGTACATTCCCGGTTTCTCGTACTGTCTGTACTGCATTTAAGATAGTTCATACGCTAGGAAGTCTTCAGTAGGGACTGCATTTTGCATTGACAGTGACATTGACTTACTGCCACTAACTTGAACTGGTTACAGCGATAATAGATGAGCAAATAACTTTTACCGGCTGAGTGCAGCATGAATATCTTGAGTCACACTTAATGTATTCTAACAAATAATAAGCAATATTTGAGCTTGTAAAATTACCTTCAAACATATTTGTCTCGAAAACATGAAAACTGTGGACTTTCGGAACATTTAGTTAAACTTCCTGTTTTATGGCGCCCTTTTGCAAGCTTGTCATTTATTTCGCGTCTTCATCAATTTAACTATACATATGTATTAAACAGTCGAATCGTTTTATAATGCCCACAAGTACCCAATGAAGAGAAATTAGGGGTGATTAGGATAAGTGCCTTTTAGTTTATTTGTTCCTTTACTATAATATCCATTTTTCATTTCTTAGCACTATCACTTGTTCTTTTCTAAACCAAAGGTTGCAAGAACTTTCTGAATTTTTCGATCTTCGTGTTATTTTTATTTACAGTTTCATTCAATCAGAACGATTTCCACAGTTGCTAATGGTTTGATGCCAAACTTAGGGTTTCCGGGATTGTTTTTTCATTTCTCCCACTTTCTGTTTCTTTAGTTAACCCACTCTCGCAAATTCATTTAGATTTTTTCAAAATGTATGCAAAATTGACTTCAACAAAACTACGACTTATTAACATCATTTTTTCTGTTAGTTGTGTTACAAAGCTACAAGAAGAAAAGTCATAATGTGAACAATATTTATTTATACATGCTTTCAATCACCTTAAAAAATGAGATCTATAAATATGCGGATTTTAATGTTTATTGATACTTCACCTTCTTTTTATTGAATACTTTTAGTTTTAACGACTACTATTTAGTGTATGTATTTGTAACATTTTATGTGTAATGTGTAATGAATAAACAATCGGTAAAGTATGCACGTGCCTGAGAATGACTTTATAATAACACAGATGGTTTCCTATCGCGCCGCCGGTCTCTCGTATTTTCTTAGCATGTGCTGGTGTGCATAAAATTCATGTTAGGCTGAGGAACACTCCACCCACAGCATACCTTTTCCGAGAGACTAAAACAACGTTCAACGTTGCAAGAGCACGAAAGTTGCCGTCTTCGGCAAGCCAAAGCGCACATTCACCCGACGACTCGCTCGAATCCACACGAGGCCAAAACGAAACATACCCGATCTGAACAAACCGGCATTTCAAGCGTTTTCAAACAACTCAGTTGGACCCAACACGGCGTGTGGTGTGGTCCTCTTTGCAACTTCACGCTGCGTTCATTCGTAAACAATGGATCCGATTAACTGATACCGTTCTCCAAAACATTCTTTTCAAATAACATTGTAAACAATAGTTGTAGAGGTGATATTGACCATTAAATTTTTCATTTTAGCAACGACTTGTTATAATATTTTGTCGTTTTCGCGTGTGGTACTTGATTCAATTTTGTGTACAGTTACAAAAAATGAAGCTGTTTCTGTTGTTGGCATTCATGTACCATTTGGGGGTTGGTTTTGTGTTGGCGGAGTTCGAAAACAGCTGGATAATGTACAAAGAGCAGCCTTGTTGCAATACAGGAGGGAATCATCATCTTCGACATCATAGAGGTATGTGGCACACAAGGGCCAGGTGATGGCTGGACTGTCTTCAGGTAGTTGTAGTACACTATACCTACCGATCTATTCGTCCCAACATGGACGCTAACGTGGATGAGTTCCTAACCTACGTTCACAAGTCGTACATGATATCAGGACTGTGGCAATGGTTCACTGACTCACTTATGTTGGTTTAATGATTACCACCTGATAAATAATTTGTTTATCATTAGTGTTAAAGTTACTTCGTTATTACGATGACGACAATATAGAAACATTTGGAATTTAAAAATTTCGTAAATAACTAGACCACGTTCTCAATTCTACGAAGGGGAATTCAAAGAAATCTTAAAACAGAACCACTTACGAATAGACGTTAATAAAAACGTTTGTATTAAGGTGTTTTCTTCGTTCCTTATCAGTTGATAAGCAGTTGCTTTCCTGATCGCTTTTTAATACTCAAGAATGCCGCTTCACACATGTTACGAAATCGGAAAGCTCTCCCGTCTGAAAAATGAAAAATTGTCGTTGCGAAAGTAACAAGAAATTTTCCTTTGTTCCTTCTTGAAAAAGCCGAAATATCGTGGTTTACGAAACACGTGTCGCAGTTGTTTCCGTACATTCCATTTGTATATCGTTTTTTTTTTTACCAAGGGTCAGGTACTTTCGGTTTCCCTTTGCTGTTTTTTGAATGATTACGAATGAGGAAAAAAGATTATTTTTAGCTATAATTGTTTGAGTCAATTCCTATAAGGAAAAGTTGATGCAAAGAGAAGCAGACTGTCTATCGGATAATGTTTCGAGTGATTATTTTATTTTAAATTGAAAAATATGTATGATGTATGTAGGTAACAGGTGAAAAAGCTAAAAAGTAAACGTGAGTGTCAATTTTTGAAGACACGTAGCTGAAGTAACCCAAAATTTCTGTGAATTGGTTGCTATAGTTCCTTAGTTTATGTTCTGTGTCGCGAAAATTCAATTCAAGATCAGTGTATAAACGTCTCCGATGTTCTCAGCAATCCGTGCAGGACCTTTTCATCGAAAAGTTCTAATTTTTCTAATGACAGGAGCATCTATTCCATACTTGTAAATAAACTGTACGTAATTAGTGTACTAATCCTTCATCCTGTTTTATTCACCCGATATAGCTTCAATAAAACATTCCCATTTACCTACATATCAACATGTAAGAACCGGTCGGTGTAAATCGAATTCGTATTCGAAAATTCTCTCGTGTTTGAAGCTCTAAAATAAACCGCTTGAAAGCAGAAATTAATCAGTGTTGTTCACATAGCATCTAAAAATTTATTTAAAAGAGCAATTAACTGAGAAAATGGAAATAGTAGTATTCGTAGGTAGTAATTAAAATCAAACAAGGGCCCTGGACGAACGGAACGCGAAGAAAAATAAGTCCGATTATAAAGCTCGTATTTATAATTATCATTTATCTAAAGCCTGATTTCGAGTACGCTCGCTTTCGGTCTCTCGCAAAGAAATTGAAGAAAATGGAACACGTTTAGTAATTTACGGCCACGATGTTCAGGGATGCTTTCATCAACCCCTTAATTTCACGCGAAACTCATTTAAACGTTGCGTACATAAATTGTACGGGTTTGAAGCGAAAATTAAAAACTAAGGAGTCACTCATTCCCGCGCTAAAATTCACTGTACTTGTGCCCTATACATTTTCAAAATGATTATGTATATACGCATCTGGGCAATGTTCTTCTTTACTGTCTCATAATAAAAATATGTAGTACCCGCCTATCGTACTATCTAAAGAACAACAGAATTCAAAAATGTGATTTTTAAACCTTGACATTGAGACAAACTGCTCAAATTTGGGATATTGTTTTGTCAATCTGTGATAACAAGATTATGAAAATCTTATAGATATATAGATATGTGAATGAAAAAATAGTATAAGAATCCTGTTTTCAACGCCCCTTCACCGAGCTTGTCCACATCTTATTTCACACTACAGCTATGAGAGTTGTACGAATTTAATGCAATATCTATTTAAAAGCTTTCGTTTCTTTTATAGTATAGTATATAATGTATATATATTTATTAAACTTTTACAAACATAATGTGTAAAATAGCAGAAATCTTATTGAAAATCTATCTCGAAATTCTGGACGCTGGAAAAATACAAAAAAAATGTGACCAAGGGCAAGACCTAATGAATAAGACCAAGACAAAGACTAAAATCAAGACCGAATATACAAGATAAGACTAAATACGCAAGACCCAACGAAAAATTATTACTTCCGCTTGATTTATGAATTAAACTATTTGAAGCAATTTTAATTTTTAGTACTTGAAATTTTTAGATAACAAAAGAAACTTTACCACTTACACTTTAACACGTGATTGAAATATAGAAACAGGGTATCTTTTTTTTTTATGTTTTTTACTTCTTTCATGTACTTTTCTTATTTTTTCCGCTATATGCTCAATATATGCTTTAGAGGAAGGATTTTCGAGTTTTCATAATTCTCACAACTATCGATACTATTTTCTCATGACATGACATATATGACAAAAAAATTTAGCCTTTGAGACAATTATTGTGTCGGTAAAAAGAAAAATTTGTTCTTGGAAGAATTATTAAGAAAAATAAGTATCAGATTAAATAAGCAAGAGTTAACACGCAAGACCAAATCGAAGACTGAGACTATATCAGTAAGACCAGGACGAAGACTAGAAGTATTTGAGCAAGACCAAGACTAAGACCGAATAAACAATACCCAGACCAATACTTGGGACAGTCGTGGTTCTGAGTAAGTTAGTAACCTAGAATATCGTAACATAGCCTAACTTTACACAAGGTATTGTACTGAGCGATAAATGGGATCTCTTTTGAACATCACAATAGTCTGTCTTACTTTTATCATAGTGTTCACTGGCTCATAACAACGTATTGTACACTACAGCCGAGTTGAGAACCAAACAAAAGGATATTCTATTACTTGCGATCATTACTATCTTTTGAAAAGTACGGCGTGTTATGGGAACATTCCTGCAAATACCTTCAGTCATCTTTTCATATAAACAATAAAATAATATATGTCCAATAAACACAATTTAAATCTTGTGGCGTGTGTTACGCTTTGTTGAGAAGATTTTGCGAGTTGGATTAGTTTCGGAGAGTTTTTAGAGAAGCAGGAGATTTTTAGGTAAGCATGGTTGAAAAAAATATATTTCACATGTTCATCAAATTATGGAAATTCGCTCGTACTGCATAAAAAAGTCTCGACAAAAATTGTGCAAAAGGTGTATGTCTGTAGTACGACTTTGTATGGGTGCGAAACGTGGACGGTGGGTGCGGTGAAAAAGAGAAGGTAGTAGTAGAAGAAGAAAAGTAGCCTTCGAAATTTGGTATTACAGGCGAATGATGTAGATAGAGGAGGTTGGAAATGAGGATGTTTTAGAAACAGTAGGAGAAAACTGGGCGCTATGGAAATCAATAAGAAATTGACGAGATAGGTTGGCATAAAGAGCCTAGTTAATAGGTAACATGTGGGATGTTCGAATTTTAGAGAAATGCAAAAATTAGCTCAGGCTAGGAAAGAGTTGAGATGCGTGTCCAACCAGTCTTAGGACTGATGAAATTATAATTATAAAAAATATGCTATTTGTATATACGGTATACGTTTTGCCTTACCTATGCATATTTTTCCTTGGTAGTAAATAATAGGGTAGATAAGTAATTTTGAAGATTTTGAAAGGTTGTTGAGTTTCTGAAATAAATACGTACATTAGCAACATAACAAAATTACTAAACTCTCAGATGTATTTTTATTGCCAATTAAAGAAACTGATGTCATAAGTACATTAGTTTCATAGTGTTAGTACATGTCAATACATATAAGACCGCAAGAAATACCTGCTACCCTCCTTTTCTATTCTATTGGACATTTGGACATAACATGACAGTGATTCTATTAGAAACGTTTCTCTTTTAACGATGTTAATTATGTACGCTTTAAACGAATATCTGAAATATCAACACGACAAGCATATTTTTGTCTAACAGTTTTGCTTTAAGCTAAGCTATTCAGTCATTAGATTAGGTACCTACACGTATCAATCTTCAAACATTACCAATATTACCAATATCTCTTTATCTATTAACATACGTTAGGTTTTATCTTTCTGTTAGTCATTTCGTGTCTGTAACATGTTTCACGAATTGGTTACGGTTCGCCTTCACTCAGTATTCTCAATCAATAGGTCTTCAAAATGTATAGACCCATCATAAAGATCATTAACCTACACATGCAACAGTGTAGAGAAGATATATCTAACTTAATGTTGTTATTAATAGCTCTTTCAAACGATAGGGTCTGCTGTGGTGCTTAGGAAGCAAATTGATACTACAAAGTAAGCGTAGTTGCAACAATACATAATTAATGGACGATTTTTAATATTTATGCGTCATTAAAGAACAGTTACAGACTAGCGTCATTCTTGATGGAATAAAAAAATTTGTTATGTGTTTGTAAACGACGAAAAGGCCAGGGTTTTCGCAGCCGTCTTTATTTTAAGAGGGTTCGATGTTCAGCCTTGATAGCCGTTCCCCGAAGATGCACACTAGTTGCCGAAGCCTTAGATGAACGGCTCCATCTGTGGACTTACCGAAAGAGAAAAGCAAATCCTGTCATCACGGCCTTTAACCCTTTACCCTCTTCAACTGATCGAAAATCCTACTTTATGGGGATTTTCAGAGACAAATGCTTCACGAATTATATGAAAGTCACCAATAATCCTAAAAAGCTGGGAATGTTGTTTACGTTAGAACAGGTCGGCAAGTTTAAGAAAATCTCTGACCTAATGTAAAACCTGCACTGAAATAAAGAGGGAAGACATTCGGAAGGAAGTGGTGATCTGTCACCGCCGATTTTACTAATTTTAACAGCACTGTGTATACGTCGAAGCGACATACTTTAACAGTTCAGGAACTACTAATCAATGCAATTCAGATGTTCTAACGTTCTAAGCATCGGCAG